AGGGATGGTACGGAGGGGATGGGGGCAGCCTGAGGAACTGGAGGCGAGGAATGGGAAGTGGAGTGTGGAGGAGGCAGTGATGTTTGTAGGATGGAAAAAACAGTTAGATTTTTCTTCACTTAATTCAATTTGCATGCCCTCACAAATGTCTGCCCAGTGGTTTGAAATAGCATAGTTTGCTCTAATCCCGAGCTTTGTCGCTGTTTGTTGGACTGGTGTGAGGCTGCAGGCGAAGGGACGGGGCCAGACAACCAGACAGCCTGCAGCCCGAGGGAAGGGCAGACTTATCATCCTGTCTAATTCTCATGTTTTGATGTTGTCTCATGTTTTTTGGGAAACCCCTGTTCTCTCTGCGGCCATGCCTGACTCAGACCATCTGCACAGGTCATAAATGGCAACACTGGCGTGAGGTCTGAATGAAAATGAGTTATTTCTGTACAGGAGCACAGACGTCATGCTCAGATGTTGCAGACAAAACAATCATTAATGTTGTGAAGTGGAAGTGAGTTAAGAAGCGATTTTGGGCTCTGACTGGATTTAGAGTAAATCAAACCTCTGCTTGGAAAATATACATTTTGCTCAGGACATAGCTGACAACTGTATCTGATTACATATAGCCACTGTATCTGATATGTTGCGTACTAATTCATAGTTGTATTTCATATTAATTTCCCTGCATCACAGGGTTTAATCCACAATCAAACATTACATTTTGCATCTTAAAAGGCACATGTGACCATAAGGGCCAAATATGAAGTGACTGTCAAGTTTAATGGGTCTTATTCACAAAGACTTCTCAGACACAGTTGTAACCATAGACTACATACAAAGACCACTTCCTCCCACTATCCAGAAATGAAGCCAAAATATTGCGGATACGTATGCCACCATCTTGTGCCAATTGTAATTTTGAGGGATGGTCCTGCTGAGATAACTGTCAATCATGTTTTTTCATTACATTTTTATAACATTTAATAAGGAATTAAAATCAAACTTACCAGTTGAACAAACACCATTGTGATAAGAAATAACTAAAGCGACTGATGAACATTTAAATTTGGTCCATATCCAATCCACTTACATGGAGGAGGCAGGATTTATGACCTTTAAAGCCAGCCACCACGTACCAATAATAGTTGATTGTGAGGAAATTTTGTGAAATAATTCATAGTGTTCAGAGGATGAATCCTACTGACTTTTATTCAACTGCCACCCTGAGGTCGAAACATTGTTATTGCATATCTCCACTGGGTCTAAATCCAACCTCACAGAGCTGCTCCCACGGCTGTACAAAATAATGCATGTATATACACACACACACACACACACACACACACACACACACACACACACACACACATATCGACACACACATCGACACACATGTACACCTTTCCCATTATGTCATTTCCTTGCTGTCATCACTTTGGCCATTATCACCACAAATGGCACAAGTAACACTGACATGTTGTTCGTGAGAGATGGAGGTAAAAATACCACTTTATTGTTGACTGTGATCTTATCAGCCTCTTCTTTGTCGTGTTTACCTTTTGATTTTCCTCTCTGTGCATATTGTTTTATTCTCAAATCCTGTATCAGTCCACTCCGCCTGTCCTGGCCTCTAATGTCAGTCGGCCTTTGACGTCAGGTTGTAAATGCAAAACAAATTGCCATAATGTCCGTGTGAATGTGTGTGTGTTTTGGAAAGGTTGTCAGGAAGCTCTTATTATAGGTGATCTGTTCACAAAGTCTTATCAGTGTTTATTGTTGTGATTTTTAACCTGGTAATCATGATTAATGTGACCCTCTCGAAGCTTCTGTCCAAGATCCCAGCCTTAAAAACAGGACAGACCGCTGATACGCCCTTCCTGTATCAGTGACTGCATCATGGTTTACCTGGCTGTCTGCACTCGTGGGTGAAGAGGTGAGGGTGTGTCCACTGAGGTGGGGGGTGATAAGGATAGAAAAGAGAAAGACTCCCACAGGTCTTAACCTGCAGTAGTGGTTGGCAGAAGAAGGTATGAGCAGAGAACGGGAAGAGACACATGCAGGGGATGGAAGGAAGGGTGAGAGCAGTGGGAGCGATTGGAAAGATGATAAGGCTCAGAGGTCTGTGAGCAGGCCAGCACTGAGGTAATGCTGTGTGAGCATTTTGCAGTAGTGGGAAGTTCGTCATAATTGTCCTTATTGTCAAAATGTCCAGCAGCATTTTATCCACAGAACATTTACCAACCTGCTGCAGGAGAGACGTGCTGATTATGCACCGCAGCAACTTTAACTCTGCAGAGTCCTGGAACGAATCACCCTAATGCTCTCCTACTTTATTTTACTCCACTTTATTTCATTTTAATATTACTTTTCATTACTCCTCTTCATTTAGCTGAGTGATCATTCATATTAGGATTGTACACAATAATCTGTTCACTTTAGTGGAGCAGAATATTAGAAAAAGTTGTGGCTCCAGAGGTTATAAATAAACCAGGGGCTCTGTAATCTTTTTGACTTGTTACACTGTAAAAGATATTGTCTGTGGGAGTCACATGATTTTTATGTGTATGGGCTAACTGGTAACAATTCCATCAAACATTTTACTTCTATTGCTTAAGTGTCTAATAATAATCATATCCATCCATTATTAGTCCTTTGAGGGTCAAGGGGGGACCCCATCCCATTTGATGAGAGGGCTATAGACCCTAAACAGGTCGCTAGCATATCACAGGCCTGATATACAGAGACAAACAACCATCCACACTCACATTCACACCTACGGGCAATTCAAAGTCTCCAATCAACCAGAACCTGGACTGTAGGAGGAAACCCACGCAGACACTGGACAACATGCAACTCGATACAGAGTTCAGAACTCAAAGTGATATCCTTGTTGCTGTGAGGTGACAGTGCCACCACCTTATAATGTCATATATAATAAATAAATCAGGGCAGGGACAGTTTTTCTGCAGAACCAGTGCTTATACTTTAATGCTTGAAATCACTAATAACTATGTTTTCACTTATTAATGATTTTGAGTGCCTCGGTTTCCTCCACTGCTTCTGTGCAGAACTGATGTTAGTCGACTGCAGGATCTCACCACACTCAGATATGAATCGTAAATACTGAACATGACTTCAGGTGATAATTTTAAGCCGAGGCTTACTGACTCCAGCTGGTCCATCTGTGGGCGAGCTGCAGTCTGCCGCCTTTAATGAACTGGCTGCCTGCCCTCTGCAACCAGCACATCTCATTAGCACCTTGTCTTCTAAATACTGTGTGCGTGGGTGTTCCTCCTCCTCCCCTACTACTTGTTTCTCATCTGATCTCATCCTTTTTTTTGTCTTCTGCTCTAATCTTTTCTCTTTTATCTTGTGCTGCTTCTGTTTCACCTCCCTCCGACCTCTGCGCTCTCTTTCTTCATCACATCTAAAAAAAAACTCCAGGAGTCGGACAAATCGTTATTCCACCGCATGCTGCGGCAGTTGCGTTTCTCATCTATCTTCTCTGCCCTTTATCTTTACATACTGCCTGTGTAATTATACTTTCTCCATCATTTTCTCCTCTTCTACAATCATCCTGCGCACTCTTTCCTCCCATCTCCTCATCTGTTGAATACAGACATACTGGACATAAATCCCATCTCCACTGCAACCCCTCATTTTCTCTGTGGCTCCTTCGCCTCTTTTCACCTCCTGACAGAGCAGACCTCCTGCCCTTTACCTCCCACCGGATCCTTCTCTCCTTCACTTCACACCTTGTTCATCTCCCTTTACTCCATTCTTTGCCTCCTCTCCTCCCTTTCATCCCCCCTTCTGGCTGTGTGCTCCGTCAACAAAGACAGGACTGCACATCCATGCGGCCCCTCAGGAGAAACCTTACACACGATGCACACGGCAGAGAGATATTTGCATGACAGGCAGCGGCGTGTTTCACAGAGGGAGGGATGGGTCGATGGAGCAAGAACAGAAAGACAGAGAGACAGAGATAGAGGGAAAGGGTTGTAGGGGAAAGTGTTGGTCTGAATCATTATGCTTCAGAAAAGAGCAAGAAAGAAGAAAAAACACATCTCCTTTGTTATCTCTCCAGTGTGAAATCTCTTTAAGCTCAAAGTCATCATATGAAAATGTCCTCTAGCTGCAGGACGACCAACATTAACATTATCTTTGCATAAAAATCTGAATTTTATATATATTCATTTTCAAATATACATTCATGTCTATTTTAAATCCATGCTACAGTCCATGCCAAGGCCATCCAGGAGAAAGACATGCTATAGGACAAGCAATCAAGCATCATGCTCCAAGAGTGTGTTCATTCAAATAAACAGGTATTTTTTGGATGTCCTCCCTCAACACAATGATGTAATGGCCCTCCTTCTTTATCTCTGTCTATGAGGCTGCAGGTTGATGTTTTCTTGAACCAGAAAACAGCTGCAGACCTTTACTTTTACAGGCAGTGACTCACCTCTGATGCTTTCCCAAGCATTTCAATCATTTAAATATTGAACCTAAATTAACATTTTAAGTATGCAGGAAATAACTTGTATTGTTTCTGACACATATAAGTAAAGAAAATACTGCCTATATGGAACAGAAACGCCTTAAACTTGTGAAAGTATTGAAATGTGCAGAAAATATGTGTGGTTGTAGGCTATATGAAAGGTGGAAAAAAAATCTGTATTTAAATGTGTCAACACAGTTGATTTCAGTGTCATACGCAGCAATCTTCATGTAAACTCATTTTCAATATATTTTGTGTACAAGTTTTACTTAAATTTCTATGTTTAACAACTACAAAGCTTATGTGCACTTTCACCAACTTCAAATTTTCAAGCACAGGTTTTCCACATTTTGCTGCTGGTCATACATACACCTACACAAAGCTGGATCATGAATATAGTTGTTATCTGTAGATATAGACCCTGTTCATGTAGTTAAATGTGAAATTAAACTTGACGTATGTTTGTGACACATGCTTGACAGACGTTTTCTCTGTGTTTTCTTCACAGAAGTCTTTCTCTCTTGTGTTGGAGGCTCTGGACCACGATAACGACACAGCAGAGTCAGGTGAAGATACAGATTTGTGGGCCTGTCGGTTTGTAGAAATGAATGTGAAAAGAGGGGCTAATACTGAAGGATGTTTCCTACAAGTTGTCTGTTGATGTTTTCATCATGAATGTTTCTCATCCTCCTTATGCCTTTTTTGTAGTGATAATTTACATCCACAGTAAAAAAAAAACAAAAAAACTCCAGTAGTCCTACAAATTGTTATTCCACCATATGACAAAGAAGAATGACTAAGATTACTAAAGAATCAAAATGGATTTTTAAAGAATGTGGTTGGAAAAAGTTGATAAATCAGCTTCAGCTAAAGTTAACTGACTCTGAAGCTGTCAGTGCAGTTTGGTTTTCACCTCTGTTTTGTGGAACATGAAGTAAGACGATCGTGTTTTGGTTTTAAAGGCCAGTGTTCTCCCCGTCTCACCAAGAAAAGATTTGTTTTCATCGAGCAACATTTATAAAGGCAACAATGCTGTGAGGGCTTGTTTACGAGTAGTGTGGCTCAACATTGTGAAACAATGTGAAAATATCCTCAGTGTGTTTATGTCTATGATCGTACGAGGTTAGAGGGTCTTTTATCCAGACCCTTTAATTTCCTGCTCGTCTCCTTGTTGTTTCTCCTCATAATCAGGAAAAGCTCCATGACAGGGAATGTGAGCTGCATGCTATAAAAAGACACACACACATACACACACACATACACACACACAGATGGAGACAGATGTTCGTATGCTTTCCTCATTCCTGTCATGCCACAGGCTTCCCTTTCATCCCACCATCCTCTGCCTCGCTCTCAGCCAGAGGAGGGACCGTGGTCGTATCCAAAAGATAGCTGAGATAATGAGAGCTGCACAACAGATCCCTCACCGTCTCTTGTCCATCTCTCCCGTCCTCTTCCAACTCTCCTCCCCTTTGTCCTCCAGCGCCGCTTTTACATCTTGTTTGCATTATGTGCCGTTTCCACCGGAGCTCACCGACAGCCTTTACATTGGGTCTAAAGCCGTTCACTAGGCCGCCAGCTTAGCTCAGCCCAAACACAGGCGTTCCGTAGCAGTCTGAATGGACTTATCAAGCCCGGCTGCTCATCAGAAAGGATTACTGAGCTCGACTGTGCCTCCTTGGAAATAGTGAGAAAAACGATGCTCTTTGTGCATCAATAAGGTGACCTTCACTGAGTTTTGTTTAAAAAAAAGGTTGCTGGTGTTAATGTACAAAGGATTCTCTGGCATTTGTTTTGTTTCCATAGTTTTTGTCCTATTATTTTTTTATTTATAATGGCTAAAGTAGTTGCTGAGATCTGTAAAATCAATGTTCAACCGGATAATAAACACAAATATCCAGACAAATTGCAAACAGACTTTTACTTGGAAGTAAATCCACAAGAGAGTGTAACTGAAATGTTTCTTATAATACTGTTAGTGGGTGAGTTCAGGAATATCTCTGTGTGAGCACTATTTAGTTTTGCTTTCACACTCATTAGGCAGTTTATTAGGTACACCTAGCTTAAAGTAATACAGTCTAACTCAACAGTCCTGCGATTTCATGTTGCTGGAGGTTTATTTAAAGTCTCTCTGATCTGACCTGCACATGTTCGTGTCTCTTCACTTTCACCATGTTCCCAGATCTCAGCATTTACTTTTGGGGTAAGCTTTTGTTGTATACACATTTACTTCATCATAAAACATTTGAAGGATTTTTGGAAGAATTTGAAACCTACATCCCTCACATTTGTGCCACATGGTGCCATATATCCACTTTTCTCTTCACGTTATCCCTGCAAAATGTTGATAAATACAACATCATGAAGCTATTGTCCATATACTAACCTTACAAATGAAAATGAGGCCCACACGTAAAACATCGCCCCATAACTATCGTTGTCTTACACTCCACTCAGGGTGATTTTAATTTTGGGAGTTTCGTGTGTGGAGTAAACACCCATCTATTATCTACAGCATTTAGAAACAGAATTCAGTCAATCTATGGCAAAAGAGGGGGTGCATGTAGCACACACACGAAGGTCGCTCTCACGTGCAATAGGTTCCTCGCGACAGACACACAGACTAGTTCTCAAGAGAGTTGCATTACATGGTACGTGCACAACTGGAGCTGAAACAATGAGTACTGACTGTCTGCATGGACAGCAATAACTTTAATGATGATAGCGTGAGTCTGTGAGCATACATGCCTAAATTAGCATGTTATTAAGAGATCACTATCAAAATGTGGCAGGACAAATTTGAATATGATGTGCTGGCATGACAACTGATTGAAAGCACTATCTATACTGCTTATCCTTTAAAGGTATAGTTCACCCAAAGATGAAAATTCATTCATTATCTACTCACCACTATGCAGATGCAGGGGTGGGCCCACAAAACCCTTTTGGAATTTCAAGGGTCAATTATTTTTGAAATTTTTGGTGAACTATCCCTTTAACGGTCGTGGGGTAACTGGAGTCAATCCCAGCTGACATTTGAGGCGGGTTACACCATGAACAGGTCACCAGCTGACGTACAGAGACAGACAACCGTTAACACTAACATTCACACCTTGCAATTTAGTCTCACTTACCTAATCTGCTTGTCTTTGGACTATGAAGGACCTGGAGTACCCAGAGAAAACCCATGCAAACATGGATAGAACATACAAACTCCACACAGAAAGTTTTCCAGCTGGGCATCAGGCTCAAACCCAGAACCTTCTTCCTGTGAAGCAACAGTACTAACCACTGCGACACCGTGCCGCCCATGCTTGGTGTAATCAGCTAGAATCATGTTAAAGCAGCAGCAGTTTAATTTCCACCTTATTAACCCTCTGTTAACTTATGTACAAGGTCATTTTGGGTGCAGCTGTGTTCACCCATGAGTCAACTGTATTGACGCAGCACTCGCAACCACAAAATTGCAACCGCCACTGGAGAGAAAGTGGACTTCAATATTAAAGCATTATAATGTAAACCAGCTTGTCTTTAGAATTCAAGACACATGTTTAGACTTTGTGCTTTTACCCAGATGACAGAAAGTTCACTGGAGCAGCCATGGAAACATCACAGCAAACAAAATCAAGAATCACTACCTGGCTGATGCATTGGTTTCCATTAATCTATTGATTTGGAAAACAAAGTGGAGAAGAGGTGTTTCCTCTCCTGCAGCTACAGTCAAAAGCAAGTATTTGACAGTTGATTGGGCAGTGGGGACAATCACTGGAGGCCAGAGGCAGAGATTCAAGTGTTCTGTCTACCTGCAGATACAAACCCTGTGTGTCCGCTGCACGTATTCTGTTTGCTTCTGAAAGTGTGATTTCAAAGACGAGTTCATGCTGTTGTTTTTCTTACCTCGTATTTGAGCCTCTCTTCTATCTCTCAGCTTCTGTCTCTGTGCTTGTGCTCACATGTTGCATCTCATCTAATCACATCACAGAGGAAATCAGACTCTGTTATACACCTTCCCTGCTGTGCTCTCTGGTAATGCGGCTATTTTTTATTCCTACCCTTGCTTCTGCGGCTCTTCTCCTCTGGCAGAGAAGAGGTGATGATGAAATTAGCCCTTTGACATGCCAGAGTCATAAAATAATGAAAAACCCACAATGCACTGCAGTTGCGTGATGGGTGTTTGGAAAAGTGGGCCCTCAGATTTGACTACATGGCTGAGCTAACAGTTTGCTCAGCGTCCGCTCTGTCCCCATTCCTCTTTTACTCTCTTAAATACACACACACACACACACACACACACACACACACACACACTCTGGCCAATATGTGCCCCTGTTTTCATTCCTTTGTGTCAAACCACAGTGATCTCATCTCTCCATCAGGCAGTTTGTTATGTGTGTTTGCTAATAGCTGCCTCCCTTCCTCTTTGGCTCTGTTTGCCTCTGTCTCTCACACACACACACACACACACACACACACACACACACACACTCTGTCTCTCCATCACTGACTTAGGTCCAACGTGGCTTCCCTTTCCTTTCTGTGTTACTATCTCACAATCTTTCCCTTCATCCTCACCACCATCTCTTACACACACACACACACATACATACATGTACACACAGACATACATGTACACACAGACATATTCTCAATGCTCTGTGTTAATACCCTGTCAGAGGAGATTATAACTGAGTTGTGGGGACAGAGCCTCTGGGAAATCCCCTCCAGGGGTCAGGATCAGCAGCCGCTGCCCCTGGGCCTCGTCTGGTCCTCTCTAGTGTTCAGGCTGGCCCCTCTCTTCTCTGCAGACCCTCGACCCCTTTTGTCTGGTCCTACAGTTGACTCTTGTCTCCATCAATATCCACACACAACTTTTTTGTAGTTTTCTGTTCAAACGCTCACTGTCTAATCAAGCTCCGTGATGCTGACTGTTATACCCAAGAAATCCTAAACAAATTAAAGGATGAAAGAGTCACAGAGAATTTAACTCACTCAGACCGTGAGAAACACATGATTTTGTCTGTTGTCGTAAAAATGTTTTTACTTAAGTGAGCGTTGCATGCAAAGCAGCTGAGAAGTTTAAGCTGCAACAATTGATATTTTCATTTTGAACAGCAGCACCAAATAGCTAAGAAGGGAAACAAACCCACAGAGAATATTGAGTGAAGTCTGCAGTTATCTTCTGCTCCTCATTGGGCTTAATATCGTTTAATTCATTGTTTTGATTTTATGGCCACTCTAATCAGTGTTCTTTCTTGCCATGGGCTGTTGTTTTCTGTGAAAAAGCTCTTAAAACCCATTGAACGGTGACAGCACAGCACCTCGCGGCTGAGGGACGAAGTTAGAAACTAGATGGTGCAGTGAACAATTAAACAGCTAAAGAGCCACAATGAACAGTAACAGTAGCAGATAGTACCAGGTGGCTCAAAACATGACATCACATTAATGTTAATGCTGGATCGTATCTGCTGGATGTGGTTGCAACACATTCACCTTATCATGTTTTTACGACTCCTCTATGCTGCCTTTACTTAGAGAGATTCATCCAGTTCAAATGATGTAACCGTCAATTACTCCCATGCATCCTTTGTGATGACAAGGTTGTTAAGCAATTTATCCACTCGAGGGCTGCGCAGCATCGAATGCTCCTCACAACCATAAACATGGTGACAGCGGAGGAGGTTGTTATAATGAAATTCTTAAAAAATAGGCAAAATGCATTGCAAATGCTGATGGTCCAACTTACAAACTCTTAAAGTCTCTGATCAAACAGTTTGGTCATGGTTGAAATTTCTTCCTCATGTCCTATGTCTGTCTCGATTTAACTATTGGTTACACTGCCCCCCCATGATTTCTTGAGGTACTGCTTTATTTTGTCTGTTTCATCTTTGTTCATATGCTTTCAGAAGAGGTAAGCATATGAAAGTAAATGCAGAGCATGGACAGGAGGCTCCGCCCACATCTGTATATGAATATGTTGTGTGTAAATGAGCCATTGAGGTGTTTATACATCAGTTGGATCTACTACACATTTCTAGAAAGTATGTCTTCCTCTCCTCTTCCTTCAGGCCAGTTAATCGAGCGAGTCCTCCTCTCCTCCATGTTGAACCCCGGTGAACAGTGGCAGACGCATCGTCACCACGGACGGGTGCTCAGTCTGGAGTACCGTCTTCGCTTCCGCTGTGACTCCAACTACTACGGACCTTTCTGCAACAAACTCTGCCGGGCCCGTGATGACTTCTTCGGTCACTTCAGCTGCGACCCCAGCGGCTCCAAGGTCTGCATTGAGGGCTGGACGGGGCCCGAGTGCAAAGAAGGTGAGATAGGAAACCTAATCTTTGTTGTGGTAGATGATGTCATTATGTTCCATGTATATTCTGAAATGAGCATTGATCCTAAGTTTTTGGTTTAGTCATGTTCAAAGATTTGAAAAGCAAATATTTTGAGATTTAATTCATTGTTTATGTCATTTAAAGAAAAAACGAAAAATGTATCAATTCATCATTCTTTAAACCCCAAGTACACATTACAGTTCCTCAGTGTTGTATAATTCTTAAATAATCAATAATTATTATTACTATTGTAACTGACATACATAAATGATGTTCACTCTGGATGGTTTATACAAATAACCAATTATCTGCTAATTGACTTTCATATCATATGGAAATCAGTAGAAATCAATAGATTTAATAAATTCAAGCTTTTAACTCGTCAGTCTTTTTTTAAAAAGGTAACATTAAAACAAGTAAGGTAAATTAATGTGAAAGGGAAAAATGAAGAAAATGTGTTCCCTTTAAAAAAGGAACATACACACATTTTAAAACCAGGCTTCTTTAATTACATTTTCATTCAAATGTTGTTTTCATTTCAATCCACAAAAAAATTAATGATTTTATTCTGTCATTTAAAACAGAAAAATGTTTTCCTCATTGGCCTCAACATTATTTGATGACATGAATGATTTGCTTCTCATTTCCCCTCGCACTGGAAGGGGGTTTCCTCTTTAACGATCCTTTCCAGGGTTTCTTAAAAGAATTTCCATGATGGTTTCCTTCTTTTCCTGTCTAATATCTCCCTCTGACGCTCTTTGAAACTGTTCACAACTGTTAAAATAAATGACCCACAGCTTCGTCTGTGAACCAGTGATATAATTTCATATTGCTTGAGATGTCTTATCTTGGAACCATACTTTTATGTGCAGTCAATTAAACTGACAGGCTTCAGAGCTCAACACTGTCTGTGACTCATCGCTGGACGTCACCGTGTGACCTCGGAGCGCTGCCATCATGTTGTGATGGTAAAAGTGAATGTAGGAAACTATGGGAACCATGAAGGACACACAACTAGTTGAGGACATCCTGCAGCCCTGCCTGTCCCAGCCCGTCTCACATCATCTGGCTTCCTCCTCAGCAGGTTGCTGATTGGGCTGTAGAGAAGCAGGAAGTTTGAAAAATTTGCAGGGCACCTCCGTTACTGCCTGGAGGTTTCTCATCATGGTGGAGTTTTGACTGTCTGGTTCCTAAAATGGAAACCTTGAGTAATTGTTCAAGAAAACAATGTCACAAAGGAATACATGAAATGCACATAAAGAACAGATGAAACATTTTTTAATTGTTCATTGAAAACACTATGAAGATTGAATGCTAATTTAACATCTCTTCTTTATCCAGGTTTAATGTAATTGATGGATGACAACAGAATGTTATAAAGTTGTATGAGTATTTTCTGTGCAGTGACGCAA